GGGCGCGTAGCTGCAGCGCGGCGGAGCCCGGATGGCGGCGGCGCAGGTACCGCGGCCCGGCTCGGAGCTCTCCGGCTCCGGCCCGGGGGTGGCAGAGCGGGCACGGCTCCCTCCTCCCAGCCGGGCTGGGTCCCATCGCTCCGAGCAGCCTAGGGAGGAGCTGGGCTCCTGAGCCCTCCACCTGCCCCCTTGCACGGAGCCCCCTGCTCCTGGCGGCGCTCCAGCACCCCTGGCCCCAGAGCCAGCTGCCTCTGCAGGCCGGCATCCCCCGGGCAGGCGGGCACGGCTGGGTGGGCACGGCCGGGTGGGCGTGCAGCTGCTCCCCTCTGCGCCCGCAGGCCTCGCCGAGGGAGGCCGTGGACCGCCGGCTGCGGGAAGCCCAGCGCTTCAAGGAGGAGGGGAACCGGTGCTACAAGGAGGGGTGCTTCCGGGACGCCGTGCGCCGCTACCACCGGGCGCTGCTGCAGCTGCGCGGGCTGGACCCCAGTGTGCCCTGCCCGCTGCAGGCGTTCGGCTCCCAAGCCCCGCGGGCCATGCCGGAGCAGGAGCAGGCCCTGCAGGTCACCCAGGCCGACTGCTACAACAACCTGGCAGGTGAGATCGCCCTTTCCATCCCTCCGTCTGCCCCGGACCGAGGCTGGCCCTTGCCAGCCTCCTGGGATGCCCGCCAGAGCAGTGCCGATGCCCCAGCTCGCCGGCTCCCTCACAACACCATCGCCCCATGTATCCTGCAGCCTGTCTCCTCCGCATGGAGCCCGTGAACTACGAGCGGGTGAAGGAGTACAGCCTCAAAGTGCTGGAGAAGCAGCCCGAGAACGCCAAGGCCCTGTACCGCGCCGGCGTGGCCACCTACCACCTGCGGGACTACGACCGGGCGCGGCGCTACCTCGCCGAGGCCACGCGGTGGCAGCCCCGGGGTGAGTGCTGGTGAGGCTGTTGGGGGCACAGGGCAAGATGGAGGGACCTGGGGCTCGTCAGGGCTAAAGGCGGGCCCTGAGCTAACTGCAAGGGCAGCACGGAGCCCTCTCGGTGGGTGGCAGGGAGGCTGGGGCATGGAGGGGGCACTGGGTGCAGGAAGGGACCATGCCCCATGCTTCAGCGTGTCCTGTCTCTGTCTCCCACCCCACAGACACCAACGTGCAGCGCTACCTGCAGCTCACGGAGTCACAGCTGAGCACCTACCACCAGAAGGAGAAGCAGCTCTATCTGGGCATGTTTGGCTAGAGCCGCTCCCGACCCACACCCTGTTGAAGACATCGGGATCCTGCAGCTGCCTCGGGACCAGCCTCATTGGCTGTAAGAGACCTATGGGGTCCCTTGGGGATGCCCTGGACAGGTGGCAAAGACTCTCTTCCCTGCAGGGTGGGCTGCTTTCTGTGCCCAGACGGTCTCTGGGGCTGGGCAGTGACTGAGAGCTCAGCCGGGACCAGGACTGCGGGCTAGGTGTCTGGCTTGGTCAACCCCTCCATAAAGGAGCACATCTGCCTGCCTCCCTGCCTGCTGAGTGTGGATGCCTTCCTTGCCCTCCCCCTGCTCCCCGCCCCAGAGGCTTGCAAGAGAGCCCCGGAGGTCTCTGCTATTGGCCTCTCGTTTCCAGGGTGACCATGGCTGGGCTGCCTCGTTGCCCTAGCGACTAATTCCTGGGGTCTGAGCTATGCCTGGCATCCCAAGCCCCGACCTCCCCCCTACCCTGCCCTGACCCCAGCCCAGCCAGAGAGGGAGCTTCCAGGCATCCCCCGGCTGCCAGCTCCCTCATCTCTGTAAGGATCCCTGGTGCCAGACTGGCCGTGGGGGGAAGCCCAAGCTGGAGTCCACCTGCTCCAGGGAGTGGGTGTCTTCATGCAGCCTGCTAAAGGCTGCATCCTCTTCCCTTCTCCTTAAACAAACACCGCCTGTTTGCTCTTCCTGTGGGCAAACAACTGCCCGCCAACGCCCCTGTTCCCAGGTGCTCCAGCATAAGGGGTTGCTGCCCGGGCAGAGGGGGAAGGCATCTGGGCTCCCTGCCAGGGCACCATACCCTCAGCACCTTGCATTTAGCATGCTAGCCCTAGCCCCCAGCCCAGTCCCTTTCCTGCTCTGGAAGAGGCAGAGGCTGCATTGTAGCTTTTATTGTTCCCAGAGAAAGGAGAGTGAAAGCTGGTGTCTTGGGATTCAGGGCCCCAGCACGCAGGGCTGGAGGCCCAGTCCAGGCAGGGGAAAGGCAAGAGGCACCTGTGCCCGAGTCACTTGGAGCCCTTGTGAGCCGCAGGGCGCAGTGAGAGGTGCACCATCCTCTTGAGCTCCTTGAGGGAGCGAGCTCGCTGCAGCTTGGTGCCGCCCGGGTCGCCAGTGCGGAGCGTTAGGGCCCTGCCTGAAGCCGGCGGTCGCCACTCCTCGGCCAGGCTGCCGGGGTCCCCCTCGCCGAGGCTGGAGGGCCCAGGAAGCAGGAGTCCGTGGACAGGGCCAGCGGCCGGCGGCGTGGGGGCAAGCAGGGCTCCACAGCCCGGACAGAGGAGATCTCCAGCACAGACGCCCACTTGGGGCGGCCGGGGGCAGCTGGGCACACAG